CCCGGTGCAATAAGGCGTAACGTCCAGGCAGCTTTGAAGTAAACTTAAAATGAATCTGGAAAAAAAACTCCATTACAAGTAAAAGCCCTGCATTCAAAATCTTACTTAAGTAAAATACAGAACAGAGGGTGACAGTAGGGAGTGGAACTAACCAGCAGCACAGAGGACGGAGAAGAAGTTTGCGCAACACCTGAACCCAGTCTTGTTTAGCCTTGTATTTAAAGCATTAGTTTTTGTTGCTCAGTACTTTTGATCCCGCTCCTCTGTTTCTCAAGTATCCCCTGGCCTTTTTAGTTTTTAGAGCCTAGACTCTGTTGATTTTGCTCCACTTGGCCTCCAACGTTTTCAAGTAATGATTTTGTGATCTCCTGTCTCCTGCATACAGGTCTGACTTCTTCGGGTAAAACAAAATTACAAAGAGTTCTTAAAGCATCAAAAGTAAAAGTACTTGTTCTGCTTAAAAATTGTCTCTTTAATCAATATATAACTATATGATATATTATTCAATTGCTAATACGCAATCTGTATTTACACAAGCAGCATTTCACTTTTGTAGCCAGCTGAGGTGGAGCTAGTTTTATTTATACACTGTTAGGGCAGTTTAATTCAGTGGTCATGGATCTTTTACTTGATCTGGAACAAATCCACCAGCATCTCGAGTCCCAAACAATGAATCAAATATGACTATACTGAACACTGAAGATGGCATACACAGCGCTGACCTATTATACATGAGGTCTGTCAACATGCTGGGGTTTTACCACCCACAGATTATGGTATACACAGCCCAGACAAATACAGAAAAGTGTTTTGTGAGAACCTTTAAATGTTACCCATTTCTGTACTGTGACAACTGCATGGCGTGGGGAAGTCTCGTCTGTCGTAGCGCTACCAGTGACTCATCAGGAGCGGAAAGGTCAGGGGTCAGATCTTTTGTCACAAGCATGAAACAAACAGACCGGGGGGACTTAGTGAGTCACACATCCTCTGGGACGTATTTGGTAATTGTCTCTCTGTCACCTACCACCTTCAGGAGACAATAACAGGCAGATAAGCAGATACAGCGGTTATTCGATGCTGGGGCCCTGTTTTTGTGTGATACGCAAACACTTATCCTACACCGCAGCCTGGGGGGCAATACAACAGGGAGGGACGCCTGCAGTGACTGTGAAGTGCAAGCAGATTGTCTTTCAAAAGTCATAACCAGGGCCTAAATCTTCAGTAGGTCAGCTCCCGCAGTAAAAGAAAACTTGTGATCTTACCCACAGTATAATCATACGCCGCCAAGACAAGGCCAGCATTCCACAGCGGCATTCCTGGACTCCTCTGAACAGAGCAAAGAAATGTCTGGCTGCAGCAACAGGTGGTATGCTCTAATCTGCTGCATTGTATTGTAATAGGCTGTTAGATTTCAATAAGTGAGCCAAGATTTACAATGACTGGAGTGCTGAGTTGAGATGTCATGTAGTTAAACAGGTATACAGTGGTGGATGTCTTCATAGACAGCGGTTTCCAGAATCCCATGCATGTCAATTAGTCCGGAGATATTCTGCGACCCTTTTACCCTGCCGCTTTCCTCAATGTTTCTGACAGATTTTTATCCCTCACATGCCAGTTTGTCTTTTCCCAGGCGTATCTTACCCTGCATGTAAAAGGTCAGGCAGCATACTCCTCCTGGCGACACTTTAAAAGCTGGGAGAAAGTGACATATATCAAATACGCTCCTATCATATTCTCTGCTCCTCTCTACATTACTCTATGACTATGGGCTAACATTCAGCCTGTCACTCTGCCCGAGACCATCAGGCCTCCACTCTTCTCCCATTTAATTATCCACACTTCCTGTGTGTTATATAGGCCGCAACGCATCAACACCGCATTTCAATTTTGATCATCTTGAAGTCCACCACTCTCACTCCATCCCACTTGGCAATACAAGGCAATTATTTTTGCATTCTGTGCTGTGAAATAACCAGGTCCTCTCTCTCTATCTCTCTCTGTCATTACATTATTCGCCCCTCCTCCTACATTATGTAACATGCAGGCTTTGGTAACTGTCATCATCCACCCTCTAATCTTGGGCCGCCCATCATGGGAGCACACAAGGCTGAGAACACCTGTATGCTAATGGGAGGGATTGCACCACCGGTCGGTGTGGGCGGCTTGCTAGGTGAGGAGGTGTGACGGAGGAGCAGGAGTGTCTCTATGTCTGTCTGTCCTGTCTTCCTGACTGACTGCCTGGCATTGGCTGCTGACAAATGCCAGCTCAAAGCTTGGTATTTGCTCCCACGTACAGCATGTGGGTGTGAGGATTCTCTCTCTATCACTCTGTTTTCTATTTTTCTATCGCCCTCACCCTTCCTTCCCACCTTCTCCATCTCTTTTTCTCAACCTGCCTCCATCTCCTTGCTCTACATCTCCATTTCTTCACTCTCTCTCCCTTTATTTTTGTGTTCCAACTCCTCTCCTCTCTTCCACCTCCTCTCTCTTTTTTTGGCTTCCCTATCTACTTCCTCCATCTTTTCTCCATGGCAGATTGGGGCATGATTAAATATCAACCAGCTATCGTGCAGGGTGTGTGTGTGTGTGAACAGGGGTGTGGTGGCTGCATAGGTAATGGGAGAGCCTTTCTCCCTCGCTGGCTGGCAAAGCATTGGAGTTTCATCAGGCTAGGACTCCTTTTGTTGGTTTGTGTGGGCAGCAATGGGGAACACACCGAGGAGAAAGAACCGGCTGACCCAAACACACACACACAGACATGCAACAGTGCACAAATCATGCACATCTACATCCACACACACACAAACACACAGACTAATTCTCCTTCCCCTGCCCTTACAGCATCTGGCTTCCACCCCCTCCATGCATCAGAGTGAAGGGAGGCCCAAACAGCCGCTGAGAAGTGTTTATCATCTTTATTACTTTATTACTTTTCTGACAGTTTTCCCTAACCTGATTTTATTACATTGTCATCAGATGATGAGTTCTCTCATCTGCTCTCTCTGCTCTTTCTTCTTTGCTTTGCCACAAATGTATCGACCTTGGTAATGCTGATGCATGACAGCCGTGAAGGATGCAGACAGGAGTTTAGATTTGGCATCACCACCTCGCCACACAGTTTGTGTCACTTTGTGTAACTCACCGTCATCATGTCCTGGGCTTCTGGTCTTTGTTTTCCTCAAATGCACAGGCCTGGAGAGGAGCGGCTCCCTTGCTGAAAAACTAAACGTTAACTCAAGTATTAGGAATGTGTGCAGGCCAAAATACAAAAACAGATGCCACATACCTTCAAAAGTGATTAGATTTTGATCATTTATACCTATCTGACTGTATGAATAAACAACATTACACATTCTCCAGCTGCGTCCTACACTTCAGGCTTATTTGGATTTTGTGAAGGAGCCTCTGCTCCAGATCATCCATAATATATGACAGATTTTTGTTATCAGTCTAATGGGGTAAACAGAGAGATTTGCCAGAGGCTGAATGAAAACGCCTGGGAGAGAATGCAATCCAGTGAAGACTAGGCAAATCTATCTATCTATCTATCTATCTATCTATCTATCTATCTATCTAAATGAGATGGCCTATTTGAAGAACGGGCAGTCTCACCTGTGCTGCCCTCTGCGCACCAGCACATCTCTCTCTCTCTCTTTCTCTCTCTCTCTGTCTCGCTCTCTTTTTCAGGCCACCTCGAAGTGTCCTGCCCACGATGTTTCCCAATGAGGTTGCTTGCATATAGATCCAGTCAGCAACAAGGGAAACACATTGATTTCCCGTCAGCATCCACCTAGGAGTGCTGGCGCGCCAGCCGATGTTGGAGCAGCCGGGGGGAACATCGGTATCCCGCAGGCGTCCTGGCAGCTGTGCACAGCGTTGTTAATGCGGCCCATTAGGCCGCTGAGTGGCAGAGAGATTCCCCGAATATTGAGCCGAGGACACCCCTCAATTAGACTGATCGCCCCGCACCTCGTCAGCATCCGCGGCTATCCGTTCTCATTAATCAATGACACAGCCGAGAGAGATGGAAAGTTAATTTAGAGGAAGTTTGCTACCAGCCAGCAGAGTTTACCCAGTCTTATATTTTCAAGCTCAAAGCATTAGCATGTCGAAATCAATTTAACATGTTGGCTAATTAGGCTATTAGTGATCTTTGATGGTTTGTGTGGCCTATAGACTATAGAAATGCATGTAGTTTCCAATAACACTGTATGAAAATTCTGTTCCTGTCTAAAAAAAAAAGCGTAAAATCACTTTTTAAATATAATTTTATCTTTAATTTTGTCTGTTTAGGTTGAAAATATAGCCCGTGTAACTGTGTATGTGTATCGTGAAGACAAATAATTGTGTTATGGGTTAAAACATGTTTTCGTTCTTATTTAGCGCTCATGCAAACAGGCTTGACTGTTCCAACATTGACGATATACATGTAGAGTAGTGTGTCTGTTGCACAAGTCTTGCAAGTCTTAGTTCAGCTGAAGCTGTGCTTTTAAACAAAGAAACAGGATTCTGCTGCTGACATTAGTTATTGTGAGCGCTGGACATGATTTGCACTCCAGCCTCTCATTCACTGCCAAGCAGCGATCAGCGCTGCCTCAGGAAGTTCCAAATAAGGACAGGGAAATGGAAACCCACCGGAATAGGTCCTTATGTAGTCACGACCTTATAAGGCACGGCGGAGCCGGGCTTTCCGGCAGCAGCGCAGCCTGCTGCACAGATGGGAAATCCAAATCAAATCTATGGGGCGACGGGGAGAGAGCAAGAATTATGCTGCTGTCTCACAGAGCTGTTCTGCTATGAAGATACATTGATTCAGGACAGAGGAAGAGCGGCGTTGTCTTCGCAATTTACTGTGAGAGCTTAATATAAAGTCTCTCCTCTTTGCTTTTCCCCAGGCCAGCGTCATGTGTCCTCCACTGCAGTGCCTAAATATGGGCTTCCTCCACTCCATATATGGACATCTACGTCACGGCAAGAGGGTATAAAAGGAGCGGGGAAACCTCTCAGCTCAGAGAGCCCTGAGAGCCCACAAGAGCAACTATTAGAGCAGAGACAGAGAGACAAACACATAGAAGTCCCTTACTAAGAAATATCACAACAAAGTGAAAAGTCAATTCAAAACAATATCCATCCAAGAAGGTCAAAACCTGATTGGAAAGTAATTTAATACAGAGATTAATCAGAAAAACATTTGAAGATTAATCTGTTGTTTAATTTTGATGAATTTTAGGGAATGAGTATAAATGACACTTTTGATTTTTTCTGAAAAGACAAGTGGATCTTTACTCATCTCTGAGAGAAAAGGAAAAACAACAGGACAACTGGAAAACACGGAGCAAGGCAGAAAACAGCGTCTTCCACGGAATCAGCAGAAGTGTGAAGCTTTCTAAGTGATTCCCTCCACCTGCGAGGCACCGCTCTGACAGCGTGCACCCAGCCTCTCTGCACTCCGCACCAACCACCAGCGCAGCCTCAGCCCTGCAGCTCCAGCACGAGCAGACAATGGCTGCAGCCAAGACCGAGATGATCCTCCCAGCCCTGCAGATCTCAGAGCCCCTGAGCTTCCCTCACTCCCCCATGGATAACTACCCCAAGCTGGAGGAGGTGATGATGCTCAGCTCGGCAGGGACCCCCTTCCTCACCGCCTCCGCACCCGAAGGTGCAGGCTTTGGCTCCGGGGAGCCTGGAGAACAGTACGACCACCTTGCTGGAGGTAAGAGCTGGAGATTTGCTTCTTCTACCTCTGGTTCTCTATGCTGCATGTAAAGCTGATTAGATCACATCTGCTGAGCTTCACTAAATCAAGAAAAGAGAAATAAACAGCTGCATAGCTTTAATTATTGTTTATGTTTTGTGTGTATTATTAATTTACAATATTAACTGATCATATAACTACAGCTGACAGATTTTCAGTTACAAGTCTATATCATTTGTTTTATTATGGCATATGGTGAGAAATGTTAAACTTAAAGTGGAATTGCAGGCTACAAGTAAATTATAATTCAGCTGACTGGACACAAAACAGTAATGTAATAAAATTCTACAAATGAACAAAAACAGGGAAATAAAAAATCATCTGACTTAAGACCAATTTATTGACAGCTCTGTCGACTGTCAGAGGACTCAAACACTGCTCAGTCACCGCATGCCTCTAGACACTCTTACAGCTCAATTCAAATTGCATTCCTAAAACCAGCTGAACTGCAGTTTCGGTAATCAATTGCCTCGGGCTCCGTGATGGGCTTCAAGAATGTGCGTGTTTGTGCGTGTGTATGTGTGTGTGCAATACAGGAAGACAGTAAGAACGAAAGAAAGATCGAGAGTGTGTGAGCAGAGGAAAATGCGAGTATAGAAAGCTTGCACAGCAGGTCTTGTTGAGGTCTGGAAGAGACAGCTTTAGAGTTTAGGGGGAAAGAGTTTAGTTGGTTTCTGCGTGGGCACCTGACTGATCTGTCACAGAAGAGAGGGATGACACACTGTCCACCATTCTGGCAGGATTCCCCCTCTCCCTCCTGGATATTGACAGTTTGATTAATGTCTCCTCTTTCTTTGTGCTCCCTGCAGATACGTTACCTGATATCTCCTTCAACTGTGAGAAGTCAGTGGCAGAGCAGACCTACCCCACCCAGAGGCTTCCCCCCATCTCTTACACAGGCCGCTTCACCCTGGAGCCCGCCACCACCTGCAGCAACAGCCTCTGGGCGGAGCCCATCTTGGGCCTGTTTACGGGTCTTATGGGCAATATTGCCCCTAGCTCTTCCTCTGCTGCCTCACTGACCACCTCGTCCTCCTCTTCATCCATCCCGTCCTCCTCCACTTCCTCCTCTTCTACCTCCTCCTCATCTCAGAGCTCCAGCCTCAGTTCCTCCATTCACCACAGCGAGCCCAACCCCATCTACTCAGCCGCCCCGACATACTCCAGCCCCAACTCTGATATCTTCCCAGACCAGGGCCAGGCTTTTTCCAGCCCAGGAGCAGTGCAGTACCCTCCTCCAGCCTACCCCAATGGCAAAACCTGCAGCACTAGCTTCCCTGTGCCCATGATTCCTGACTACCTCTTCCCTCAGCAGCAGGGAGAGATCAGCCTGGTGCCCCCTGACCAAAAGCCCTTCCAGAATCAGTCAAGCCAGCCCTCCCTCACTCCTCTGTCCACCATCAAGGCCTTTGCCACCCAGACTGGTTCCCAGGACTTAAAGAGTGTCTATCAGGCCCAGCTGATTAAGCCCAGCCGCATGCGCAAGTACCCCACCCGGCCGAGCAAGACACCTCCTCACGAGAGGCCCTACGCTTGCCCCGTGGAGACCTGTGATCGCCGCTTCTCACGCTCTGATGAGCTGACTCGTCACATTCGCATCCACACGGGCCAGAAACCCTTCCAGTGCCGCATCTGCATGCGCAACTTCAGCCGCAGCGACCACCTGACAACACACATCCGCACTCATACTGGTGAAAAGCCTTTTGCCTGCGAGATCTGCGGACGCAAGTTTGCCCGCAGTGACGAGAGGAAGAGGCACACAAAGATTCACCTACGGCAGAAGGACAAGAAAGCAGAGAAGACAGGAGCAGTGGCAGTAACAGCAGCGCCGGTCTCAGCCGCATCACCTGCGTCCAGCTACCCTTCTCCCATCACCTCCTACCCATCTCCAGTGTCTTCATATCCCTCTCCCGTCACCTCTTGCTACTCCTCTCCTGTCCACACTTCCTATCCATCTCCGTCCATCGCCACCACCTACCCATCGGTGTCCATGTCCAGCACCTTTCAGTCCCAGGTCGCCTCCTCCTTCCCCTCCTCAGTTGCCTCCAATATCTACAGCTCCCCCATCCCCACCCCGCTATCAGACATGCAGACCACTCTCTCCCCAAGGACAATCGAAATCTGCTAAGGAAGAGGAAAACTTTTTTTTTGTCTCTCCGTACCTCTCCTTCCTTAAGGTTCTTTGAGGGGAAAGAAATCAGCATCAAAAGACTTTGTTTTCCCCTCCAAAAAGCACTTTTCTGTCTGCTCCCTGTGCAGCGTTAGGTGAATCTTGAGATTTACCTGAAAGAGAGAAAAAGACACATGTCAAGGACTGGGCAAAGACAATACAAGATGAAAAGGGATTTTTTTCTGTCTCTGTAAAACAAATGCAGCACTTCAAATGCGTAAGGGACTCAACAGATAAGAGAATAGAAACCGGCACTGACGGGTCTCTACTATTAGGTACACACAAACCAAGAGACAAAGAGATTGCCAGCAGTTGTGATGCTAAGGCACGTTCGCCCTTGCAGGCACTAATACAGTACAAAAGACATTGAATGATATACATAAGCTACCATATATGTATATTGTACATGTGCCATGTTTTGTTTTTATCATTTTTTTGGTACCATTGATGTGAAAAATGATTTGCATATTTGCATTGTATTATTTGAAGTGAGCAGGGCCATATTTTCTACATACTTTCTCTATTATGTAGTGATGATGCTGTGATACGTTTTGACATTGTTTGAAAAAAAGCACTTAAGTATTCAAGCATGAGTAAGAGTGATGTTAGTTTCTGTTTGTAAATATCATCCACTGGTACTATCTCTTTCTCTCTTTCTCACATGTGACATATCGCTCGGTTATATGGACAACCAGAGAGAAAACAAACAAAAAAACATTTTTAAAAAATTGAAACAAGACAAACACTCCCGTTATTTGGTGCCTTTTGTGAAGCCTTGCTGATGTGTGACTCGGCTGCGCGCAAGAGAGAGAGAGATGCACTGCATCTCGCCTTAAGGGTTGAGGGAATATTTTTGTTACAGAATGTAAGTCATACTCAGAGGGAGGAAAAGGGACGAGCTATGAGGGCACCGCTTCATTTCATTAGAATGTAAGCAAAAAAGGAGAAAAATTATAAAGTATATTTTTGTAAAACTTAAGTGTAAATATCCACATCTTCAAGAGCTGGAATGTTGAAGTTACCTACTGAGTAGGCATGGGATTCTTTTGTATGTTATATACATGCAGTTCATTATTTTGTGGTTATCTTTATTTTGTATTTGTGTTTGTTAAAACAAGTGACTGTTTCTGGCTTCTAAACACATTGAATGCGCTTAACTGCCAATGGGATATTTGGTGTACAAGATATCCTCCCAGAAATAAAATATAAATAAAAATATAAATATATATGTATATTTGTTTTCATTCTTTATTGTTTGAAATTTGTGTTTTCAAATATTTCCATTGGTGCTCCAAACCATTTTATAGAGACATCTTCATGACATTACACTTCAAGTTTCATTTTGTCATGTACATCCCTCATACGTGAACATAATATATTCAATCATCCTACATTTTAATTGTATGCATATTATTAGTTGATTTAACCACAGCCCCACATCACAGAGAGCCTCCCTTTAATTTGAAAAAAATCTGCACAGGATAATCTTATGAAACTCTCCGTTTCAATCGCTGTTCTCCAATTGAACCCTGTATTAATGATAACACTAACGCATGACTCCCATGCCTATAGACACTGAAGATGAGGAATTCTTATCTAGATCCAACATGCTCTTGAAGATAGTAAGCTTATCTAAATGTCATTTTATTTTAGATGTTATGATACACACTGGCCCTTACTGGCAATTTGATCTTTAGGCAAAATGGCAAATGTATGCTGTTCGAGAAATTTTTTTTTGGAGAGGGATATTTTAAACCAACTGTGCTTAGACATGCACAGGGTTATTTTCACAGAGCGCAGGTGAAATCCATCACATGATAATTACCTCCTTTTCCACAAATGTGGTTGGCAAGGTGCTGTCATCTCATGAGCTGTAACACACAACTGGGCAATGTCCGTGTAGGTTAGGCTGAACTGTTGCACGGGTACAGGAGAACAGACTGGCCCTGAAGGTTTAACCGCTGTTTCTCTTGGTTTTTCAAGCAGAATATAATAACAGCCTCGTCGCACCGTCATTATTCATCCGCCACTCTTCCTTAGGCAAGGAACTCTTGTTACATGTCTGGGTATGAAAATAAAACATTTTGGTTTTTTAGCCTATGTAGACAAGAACTCCCTCTTAAGTTTTTCTCTCGGAGCTTTGGAGTAATTTTGTGTTGTGAAATGCACGAACCAAAATACTCACAAATGCAAACACAGCTAAAATAGAAAGCAGGAAAACAAGTAGAAGAGAGTGATTGAGGGAAAAGGAAAATAATTAAGATAATTGGTCTCCTGATCCCAAATTGACTTTCTAAATTGGGTCTGATGAGTTGTGTGTGTTTGTGTCAGTGTGTGTGTGCGTGTGCAGGAATTTGTGTACAATATATACAGTGACTGTGTATAGACTGACTAATGTAGTTGTTTCCTGCTGTGTGTCTGCATGCTGCTGCGGTCATGTTTAAGTGTGTATTTCTGTGAAATTTGCAGTGTTAGCAGCTATTGTTCTGCTCTAAGTTTCCTTGGTTAAAGCTCAGTGTCCCCATGAAACAGATCTACCTAGACACCACCCTCTCATCTGCTGACACAGTTTGCATGTGTGTCAACTTGTGTGTGTGTGTGTGTGTGTGTCTGACCAGAAGCCCTTCCAGAGTCAGTCAAACACTCCCAAATGACACAGCAAAAGGCAGAAAAAAATAGCAACGGATGGTAACAATGGTCCATTTTCTTTGATGAAATCTACACCACATGCTACAATTAAATAAATAAATGAAATACCAACACATAATAGGATGCTTCGGCAAATCACACAAAATCACAAATCAGCACTGTGGTTGATCTCTATGCTGAGTTAAATCATCTTGATGTTTAAATAATGATGTTCTCCACTCAAAATTTGTCATTTCCTGTCATTGTTTTATGGCATTATTTTGGTCCCTGGCTGCAAATCAAAAGCCATTCAGCAGCTTTTGCATCACAACTTTCTCATACGACCATGCTTTTAGGAAACTCTTTTACTCAATGTGAAAACCACAGACTGTGCTTCGCTCAGCCCTTTCTCATGTTCACAGACAATATTTTAACCAGTCTTGTCACAGTCCATAACCAAAATCCTAGAAAGACAAACGGCCACTATCCCTCAAAGTATAAGGGATGTGTGTAGCCCATCATATCCTCTAGCTCTGATTCAAAGCTCTTTCTCTCGTATCAAAGATCACCTCTGGGCCTGTTCTGTTTCAGGAGGTGTGAGGGGAGCGTGAGAGGAGTTGGGAGAGCAGTTGCGTTGTGGCTTCACTCTGTTGTAATCCACAACGGAGCCACCTCACGCACCCACTGGGCTACGACTTCAAGAACCCTGCCTTTGTTCAAAAATTTATTTGTTCTCTTATTCTTTTTGGGAACTGTGTAAAACAAAAAAGGATGAATGGCAAAAAGAAGCATTCTTTCTCCCTCCCCACCCTCCAACCCCATCCCGCTCAATCTCTCTCCCTCTCTGTCTCTACCTTGCTCTCCCTCTCTGGTAGTGCATATTTTGCTGGAGATGCTAATGATCCCCCCACCCCCCCCTCCGTATTCTGATGCAAGGTCTGTCTACACTTTTCCCTTTCATCCACATACAAATGTGCTCTTATTGCCTCTTCGCCCTCGGGCCTTTTAAGATGCCTTTTTGAAATATGCCGTTTGATAAGCACATCATTGGCCAAGTCCCCGCAGTGATTAGAGCTCTCTTTAATGTGAGCAAGTTGGAGAGTGAACGAGGGGCTCTGGGGCCGGCAGCTATCCGTTCTCCTCTGCCCTCACCCCTTGACATCTCCCAAGCCGCTGGGGAGAGACCAGTGTCGGGTAGGACGACCCAGAGACAAGCTTAGCACACAAGCGCCATTGGCCATCCTCCATCCTTCATCTCCACATGGAGAATAAATATGGGAGGGAACACATTGGAGAATTGCCTTCATAGAGACACCGTACTGTATGCTGGAAGGCTAGATTCCTGTACTTTATCACAAGGATATGACAGGAGGACTGCTCTCTAATGTCTTTAAAATTTGCTCTTCTGATCTTATGTTCAGAGCCTCGCTTTGCCTCGCTGGGATGGTTTTTTTATCTTGCCAGTAGGGAACGCTGATATTGTAGTCAGGTGCTTTCTCCTGTTCTGCCTCTTGCACCCGACACCTGTTGAGCCTTTTGGGATAAGTAGGTTATATTTAAACTGCTTGATTTCCAGCTTCCTTACATTTCAGGTTGATTGCAACATTGACACAGCGTTCAGAAAACGTGCTTGGCATATCACAGTCTGAATATCCGTCAGAAAGTCTAAGTGTGATAAACCTGGACAAAATGTTGCAGCTCATTCACTTTCAATAATCTCCTCTTGCTGTAACTGAAACACAGACAGACCAACCTGAAACATGCTCTGCTTTAAGACACAAGCACATAATCAAGATGTCACAAATGTGCTCTTCATATCTGGGTTAAGATGTGTAAACCTTTTGTATGTGTGTTAGCTGTTCAAAACACACAAGCTGTAAGAGCAGCACAACTCACAAGCATCTTTGAAATTATTTGCAGCACGCAGAAGAGATTTTTGATGCATCACTTCCACAATAATCTACAGGTGTCCTGGCAACTTTAGCTCTACTTAATAAGCCATGCTTGTTTGAAGTACATGGCTTTGAACAGACAACAAAACAGTGCATGCTTAAGCACCTCCAAATATGACACCTCTTCAACTCAGCATCAAGTGCACTACAGCTTCACAAAAGGCACCTGGGTGGCTCTGAAATGCAAACAGGCCCTCATAAGTCTTTATGTGTTAAGGCTAGTAAGTGGGCTCGAGCTGTTTTCTTTTCTGTCTGTGAGTCTGACTATCATATGCAGTCCCTGAGCAGGGTCTCTGAGGCTGGGTAAATAAATGCATTCATGCCTCTCAGTGCCTTGTCTGTTTTTATCAGAGGCATGCATGCTCTGCAACAGATGGCTTTCTACTGCAAATTAGAGGCTTCCTACGGCACCGTGCGAGACATCAATTCCTAAATAACAATAATTCAAACAAACAAAAATAAATGGAAGTTTTTAGAGTGGAAACTAGTGTAAATGATTGTACTGTCTCGCCATACTTTTGGGACATTAGTGGAGTAGTGTTAGATTAGTAGAGGGCTGTACTGCCCTATTTTTGCAACAAAACTATCATTGATAACTCGTCCTGCTTTTTTTCCACATAAATCTGCTTGTTTCTATGACCCATTTTGTTCCACATGAAGCAGTAGGGATGCATTTTAGGGTCACTGGTTTTACTTGAACTGTAGTTCAAGAGTTCAGAACAACCACCCAGTTGTCACAACAGCCCTGATTAGAGGTGAGAGCTACAGTGCTGTAAGTATGTGTGAGTATACCTGTGTGTGCCTAAATATAAGTCTGACCAAATTTGCTAGATATGGTTTGGCTTTTATTTACATGTTCCTGACCATTGATGCATTTGCATATTTTCATGAAGAGCACTGCTACAAACACTACAAAATGAGATTGGAATAATAAAGTTCATACAAAACCACCCCCTGTGATTAGATCAGGGCATGCTGCATCTCACTCTGATAGATCAAAAGCTGAGCGACAGAGACACAGACCTAATAGAAAATGTGTCCCCCACCCCCCTTCCCACTCTCCAGATGTGCCCTGCAGTGACTTCACCACCTGTCATTCAAAAGGAGGAGGCCAGGTGTCTGATCCGGCGCTGCAGCCACCTGTTATGAGATACACCATTCACAATTCTCTAAGTGCACTGCTTCTCTACAGTACACCAGCACTGACCACAACGTAATCTCGCCAAGTGTCTTTTGTCCATGCAATGCCAAAAATAATCCCTAACCCACTTATTAGGTAATACCTGTGGAATGAGTCGATAATAAATAATGTAATCTGCCACAGATATGAAGCTTTAGTCACACAACTGAAAGAAGATAAAATAATATCACTGGCTCAGGGCCAAAGATAATAGATTCATTACTAACAGCGGTGGCAAGAGACATCCTTTGTCTTGGTGTTTTATAGATTTGACTTACATTGACAATGGTACTGTGTGTTGCCGCTCGGCTTTCATAATACAGCATCAGGTACAAACGCAGCACTTGTCATCCTGCTGCTGCTAAGCCTCATTTAAAGCCTCAGCCACAATCACATACAAAAAATTGGAAATTCCTGTGTGGATAGGATGTAGAATTAGGTAAACAGGTGTGTGTGTGTGTGTGTGTGTGTGTGTGTGTGTGTGTGTGTGTGTGTGTGAGCGTGCGTGTGTGTGTGCGTGCGTGCGTGCGTGTGTCTATATGTGTGTGTGCCTATGTGCTGCAGCCATAAGGTGTTATCAGTCTCAGGGGTGACAGTGTGAACGCAAGGGAGCGAGAGAAATTACAATTGGAGGAGGAGGAGGGATACGGTAAATGAGTATCATCATCTGGCCAGGTTTCCTTTCCTGTCCCCTCACTACAGCTGTCCTCCATGTTTGATGAAAGCCTTACGCTGCTATATTTGTCTCACAGTGATGAGGTGGAACTAATGGCCACTTTCACACCAGCTGATGTCATCAGTGTGCTGCGTCTGGGGAGCACGAGTGTGGGAACGGCCGGGATACCTGCTTTATAAATGGTTTACACCAACTTATCAACTTTTCTACTAATTGTTCTCATGGGAAACTCTCAGGTCCCCACTCTCCAAGGGTGTGCCAGTGTTTATAGCAACTTTAAGTGGTAATTTTACCTTAAAATAACAGCTTAAAAACATTTTGATGGTACACTGACTTGTCATAGGGTGTATGGAGTCGCTGTCATTACCACTCTGGGCTGGCTGCACCAGCTATGTAACACTGAAATCCAGAACTTTTATCATGACAACGGAGTTATGGTTTAGGGCACCACCATGACTGTTCAACAAGCAAGCTATAAGAAGATGCAAAAAGTATATAATAAACAGGAGACTTGACCAGAGTAAATATCAGACTGGCTGTCAGGCCCTCTGCCTCTGCTTAGTGGGAGCTGCTGTGTTTCTCCCTTCCCTCTCTGTGGGTGTGTTTGTTTTATGATTACAAGAGCGGAGCCAGGTATGTGGCAATCGGATACCAGCTGCCTATCAACTCCGCGTCATATCCCTTGTTCCTTCCTCAACACATCGCCAGATCGTAGAATATACTACACAGTCAGTCTTGCTTCAACTACAATATTGCTACTTGTCTGTTTGCAATCTTGTTTAAGTATCATTGCCTGGACCCGACTCCTGCCTCTACACCACTCCCCCATATCTGGACCTCAATCTGAAGAGATACCTGGACGCCTTGTCGGACTGGAATCTCCTCCCCAGAATTCTGGACTTTCTTCGGACCTCACTGCCAACTCGTCTGCCTGGCTCAGCACATTCCAAGCCCCTCTGGACCACTTGGACTTTCCCTAAAAGCCATTTGACTCTGCTCCCTGCACATTCTATATTTTGTAAATAAACACTGGCTTTTACTCATTGGCCTGAGCAAAAAGAGCTGAAAGGATGCAAGACAGATGCTGAGCTGGCATTTCTGCTGTTGGACTCGTAAGTAATAACTTGGCTTGTTATGTCTTGTGTTGCTGCATTTGCTTGATGTGTTAGCAAAGTTGTCAACTTGAGCAAAATCAGCCAGAGGTTTCACAGAGGTTTAGCCACAAGCTATTAATCTTGGGTTGATTTTAGCAAACTTATTAGAAAACACACACACAAATATCGATAACGTTAAGTGCATCAGTTGCTGTCTAGCTTGTTAGCTACCCGGTCTCTTGCTCGGTCACCCTCTCTTCCACTGTCAACGTCCTCTTTGCCTCTGCCATTAGCTAACGTTATTTCCATAGAGGCTGCTGGAGCCTGGTTATTTTATGGTAGAAAAGTTACATAATGTTGCTTGGCCACTCGCTACTAGCTTTAAATCTCGAGTCGATGTTTGCAAGCTTACTAGAGAACGACACTTGGAAATCGGTAAATTTACTGTAAGTGATTTTGAGATAGTTGCAGTTTAACTTTGTTGGCAAGCTTGCCACCCAAGTTTCAAGCAAGCGGGCAACATAACCGGGCTAAGCAGACTCTGTGGACATAACATTTGTTAATGGCAGAGGCGAAGAGACTGATGAGGACATTGACGGTGGAAGCTAAGAAGTGACCATGCAAGAGATTCCTGGATGTTTGGCGAGAGCTGTGTGAAATAAAAGGCTGCTAGACAGTACACAGTTGGACTAGTAAGCAATATGTAATTATAACATATACACATGTACAGCTGTCCTTATTGACAGTGGTGAATTACACTGTGAAACAGAAGGGGCACCAAATCCCACACAGAAACAACTACATAATGTTGTTCTAAAGGAATGGTTTTTCATTTTGGGAAACACGCTTTTCTCTTTCTTGCTGAGAGTTCGATGAGAAGATTGATACCACTGTTATGTCTGTACAAACAGTATGTAGATATGAAGCTACAGCCAACAGCCGGTTAGCTTAGCTTAGCATAAAGACTGGAATTGCGGAAACAGCTAGCCTGATACTGACCAAAGCTAACAAATTCCACTGCTTCATATTTACCGTCCAGACATGACAGTGGTATCATTGGCATCATCTGTCTCTCAGCAAGAAAGCAAGTGTATTTCCTGACATGTGGAACTAGCCCTTTAATGCAAGCGCATTTTCTGCTGATTTATAAAGATAGAAATCTAAGCAATCATCCTCCTTTCCTCTTTCTCTCCCTGTCTGCCTTTCCTTTTCTGCATCCCTAACAGCTAGTTAACAGTAAGCAGTCTGTGCTGTTGCAACCCGAGCACAGCCACATCTCTGTCACATCCACACCGTTAGGTCCTCATTTAGGGCCTGTGACTGCATACAGTAGCATGTCAGCATCTGTCAGCTCTGTCAAGTGTGTATGTAGGCTTTTACGCTTCCTAATGTGAAACAGTTGACAGGTTATTACTGCCAATGTGAAGTCATGAGCCTTGACCACAGCTATAACCCAACTTTAACCCGGGAAAATTTTGGCTCAGCACTGAAATGCTTTGACAAGGTGAGACATGCAAAGTTTTCCATATACCTGTAGTAGACTCAAACATCCAGCCTAGCGTGAGCTGTATATTACTGTATCCCGGCTATCCTGTTTCCATTAGGATACATCTGTGATCAGATCATGAACTCTGTGCGCTTTCAACGCTTCAATCGTTTGGCTATAAATACCTGATGCCCCCTCAGTGAAATTACCCCTTTCAGCTGGCCACTATCTCCTCCTGCCCTCCATCATGTTCATCCTCTAATGTACGTGAAGCCGCCAGTAATGGTGCTAGATTACAAAGAGTGCACGTAGCTCGTGTGTGTGTGTTTTTTTAACAGCTTGAAATATCCCTGCAGTTAAGTATAATTCACACACAGAGGGCCACACATTTGACCCGTACACATGCACGAACATGCACGCACTTCAGTGTGCTCACTTTACACCCCAGGGTGTGTGTGTTTGTGTGTGTGTGTGTGTGTGTGTGTGTGTGTGTGTGTGTGTGTGTGTGTGTGTGTGTGTGTGTGTTTGTGTGTGTGTGTGTGTGCATTTAGCTCTGTACAATGCCGCTTAATAGAGTCCTCCATTGTGAGTAATGACCCCAGCCCTTTTCTGTTATTCTATCTGGACCAGCGGGCTAAAAGTTGCTGTGAGGATGAGAATGAGGCTCTCTCTTTTCCTCTAAAGCAGTAAAATGAGGAGAAATTGCAGTTAAATAAATGGTTGTTTACTCGCTGTGTCGTTCCCAAATACACCTCATTCATCTTCATCTGTTAATGTGCGCACTTTTACATTTCTCTATTTGACTTTTATCTTTAACATACATTATTGCTTTTATTTGCCACTGCTTTTTTCTGCAAACACGTTCATTGAGGTCTATATGCATTTCTCTTTACATCCACACATGCTAAACAATGTTCAGGCTCTATAGCTTTGCTCATGACTTCAAGGCTTGAACACGTCTCAATACACACTCACACACATATTTTCCCTGGCAGCCTCAAACACCATCAACCCCACTCCAGCCATGCCAGTGATGCTATGAAGCAGCGGGGCTGCACTGCTGTGCATTATAAAGTAATGGTCCAGAGAGACATGACAGTAGGAAAGACATGGGTGTGTGCGCCTCAGGTTGAAGTGTGGATGTCTACTGTCCATCCTCTCTCTCTTTTAATTCCTTTTCCTCAGTCTGCTACTTTTCCTTAGTGTGTGTGTGTGTGTGTGTGTGTGTGTGTGTGCATATGAGAGAGAGCGAGAGAGAGAAAGAGGAAGAGAGAAACAGAGCAGGTGCAGGACTTAACTTGTCACTTTACAGATTTATGTCTGATTGGAGCACTCGCTGTTTATCAGGAAACATCTGTCTGTCTGTCTTTCTGCCTGTCTGTCTGCCTGTCTGTCTGAGATCTGTCTATTGTCAACACAAATGCACAAAAGCAATGAAGCATGATCCTACAACAAGGTTTCAGCCACTGACGGAACAATGTCTGGGTTTTAGTTTTTGGCACCCATTTTCACAGCTTCGGAAAAGGCAAAGTGAGGAGGAGAGCGAAGGTCACCAACACCACTAAATGCAGACTAACTGAGAAGAGCGCATGACAAGTCTTTCTGGACTTTTCTTCAAATCAAATGGAAACAGGATGCACTTTGAATGTCAGAGCTCAAAATATAAGCACTAAAAAGGAAATAATTTAAATATTTTTCATCACAGCTATGTTTTTTGTCATTTAACACATTATAGGAAAATAAGTCTGCATTTTCCATTAGCTAATGTATCGAAAATAGCTTACCATTGCAGAATCAAGTCAGGCTGCCTGAGTGCTGGTGTTACATGAGAGACAAAGTAAACAAACTTGTTCAGTAGTCTACAAGTCATTGGCAGACAGTGTGTTGTTAGTGGTATTAAAGAGTAAGGACCACATCAGCAACTAACCAGACCAAAGTGACCTTTGCGAGTACGTTCACATGCTTTTAATGTGCTGCAGCTGAGTAGCTAATCAGCTATCTAGTCTGCACTTTTCCCTAGTGAATGTTTGTTTGGTCGCTTTTTCAACAAACCTAGGTGCAGGACAAAACGTGTTCACAAGTGAGATTTTAGAGACTTTAGCAGGAAGCTTATGTGGATCTTGTGTTATTCACCAGGCTGCTCAGTGCTGAGCACCATGCTGACATTATAGCTGCATGCAATATTTGATTGGTTGTATTGTAACATGGTCTACATCTACATGGATAGTTACTGGAACTGTACTCCCTAGGGGACACAATCATGAAAAAAATATAGATATACACACATTTTTCCTTCTTGCTTTCATTTGTTTCTCAAAGGAGAACACAAGGACAATGCAACTTAATTGCAGTCCAACTTTAAGTCAAAGCTAAAGCAAAACAGTTGACCTGAATGTTGAGTAAGACTAAGGCTACATTCAGACTGCAGGCCTTAGTGCTCACTTCCGATTTGTTTTCCCATATCTGAATTTTGACAGTTCACATTGTTGTTTAAATGTGGCCCATCTCCAACTGTCCACGGCCTGAAAGTGAAATGCATGCACAGAAGAATGACACAACGTCACACACAGCACGCTGTCGTACAGAAGTAAACAGAGCTACAGAGTTTAGCTCCGGTTAGCTCATTCTTGCTAACCTTCCAAATTTTCATGGGAGACTCCCATTTTTTCCGTTTGTCCTCTCATGTGTCACATTTCTCCCCAATTATGACAAGTGTTCACAAAATTTTGTTCTTTTCATTACAGTTTAACGCAACTACCCCACAACTACCTCCCTCGCTCTCTCTCTCCACTGTGTCAGCACGGACACAAGTAGCATGCACTTAGCCTAACTCAGAAGAGAGCTCGCTGTTCGGTGGATTTCAGGTGTAAGAAAGGGAATTTGTCTACAGCAGAACTGTGACAACAGCTGCTCTAGAGTGACGTCAAAGTCACAGACTGAGGTCGCAGACAGCTGTTGTCACAGTCCTGCTGTAGCCTGAGCCCCGGTGAATGAAAAAAGCTCCACAAAAAGCCATAATTAAACATGTGGCTCTCCTTCTATTCTACCTTGCTATCATCAGCTCACAATTTCCATTTCTTACACCTGAAATCCAACGGGAGCTAACCTCTGTGGCTCTGTTTACTTCTGTTTACTTCTGTAGAACAGTGTGCTTCTTCTGCGCATGCGGGTCACTTTAAGGCCACAAACCAGTTCACACTGAAGTCTGATATGGACCATATTTAAGCAATAATCTGGACTGTCGGATCTGGGGAAAAAACTGGAATTGAGCATTTAGGCCTGCAGTCTGAACGTAGCCATAGTTATACATATGTATGCATAGTTATAAGCAGATGCAATCCACATGTTCAGCATGCTGTCTCAAACCCATTATGATCTATACGGTAAATGCATCACTATGCTAATAGAGCAACATGTGTTATATTACAGACTGCACAGTGTTATACCGTATGTCATTAGTACAGAGAATGAATGCTGTGTGTCTGGCTACAGCAATAAGCCACTAGCTGCAGGCTGTACAGAGAGCGAAGCA